GAAGTTGAGTAACTCTCCGGTAAAACTGGAGGAAAGAATAGAAGACTCAATTTACTCTAGATTGGTTGTTATTCTCGAGTTCTGTGACATCCTAAAATGAGAGATACAAGTGTGGACCTTTGCAGTTATTTGTCTAGCATTATGGGTAAGTTATTCAGTTGGGAATATTCATCCACTCAGTGACTACCAAGTTATGTTAGTTCCATTTGATGTAGGTCATGTTTAAAGTCCTAAGTTTAGACTCTAATAGAAGATTAATGCATTACTGTTTTTTAAATGAACAAATACTATTTTGTACATTGAATAATAAGCAATTTGTAATAGTTTAACAATAGTTCTCATAGTTGCTGCTAATAGAGTAAACTCACTCTAGTATGTACATGCTAATGTTTTAAAGATCAGCTCAGTGCCTTAGATGTGATCTCACTCTCTAGGTTTAGTGTGTTCTCAGAAAAATGAGCATGCACGTGTGGTACATGCGTTTAGAGCAGATATACCAGGATCTAACTCTGTGTGTAGTCTAGACTAGCCCCAAACAGAGTTATTCTGCCTCCCAAGGTGGTAGCCACCAGGTACATCTTAAATGTGATGTATTACTTCCTTCTCACCTAGGTCAGTTGTTAGAGTCCCAAGACTTGGGTGGCAGGAAATTTCTATGTTCTTTCTTCCAAGAGCTTTGTGAAAGGGAGATTGGCTCTTGAATTTTAAGGGAAAGATTCTGTGATAATTTGTCTCTCTCTATGGTGAATGGAGGATGACATTGATCTAGGGGCTTAAGATTTGCCTTTTCTAGAGAAGTTGATTCTGAAAATAATTCACAGACATGAATTGGTAAGTTTTCTTCAACAAGGTGGGTTTGAGTTAAGTGCTCTTCCTTGGCTCAGTGCTCCTGTACTTGGAGTCTAGAAGCAACAGTGCCTGTGAACTTGCACTCTGCAGGCTGTGGGTCTTTAGTCAGTTGACCTACTGTGCTTGATGGTACTCTGTTTTATTTGTTCCTTTAGTTTTGTTTACTCTTTGTATTAAAAGTGGTTCTATTTAAACTTGTCCCAAGAGTGGGCATGCTCCATTTATTGCCTCAGTTTCTTTGCCTTGTATTTGTAAGCAACTGCTATACTATAATCTTCATGAGGTCTAACAGTCCAGGACTATAGTGGTGTTGTATTTATTCTAATATCTAATATCTAATATCATTTTTGTCTAACAGGCTTATCTTCAGCAGACTCAAGAACTGGTTTTACTTGAAACCATAATGCTGCAAACACTGGGTATGTGCTCATATCATTTGTGTCCAATATGCAATATTCTAAAACAAAAATTTCTACAATAGCTTCTTATTGAAGAAAGTTGTTTAAATCTAGTTTTGGCCCAGCACTCAGAGGCAGAGGCAGATCTCTGTGAGTTGAAGACCAGCCTGATCTACAGAGCTAGTTCCAGGACAGCCAGGGCTACAAAAAGAAACCCTGTCTCGAAAAACTGAAGAAAAGAAAAAGAATGTTAGACTTATCCAAAGTTCAGTGGTTCTCAGGAAGGAAACTAGCCAGCTGAGGTCAGAAAAATACGAGCGCTGGGGATGTCAGAATTCTGACCACTGTTCTTTTCCATTCCGCACATATGGAATAAAAACTGCTCTATTATAGCAATTTTTTGTTTTCATTTTACTATTATTCCATTTCCAGATGAAGTACAACTAGGAGTAGGAGTGGTTTATAGTACATGCCTTTAATCCTAGCATGTGGCTCTCTTGTGAATTTGAGGGCTTCCAGGACTACATAGTGACTCTTGTCACAAACAAAGAAAAAAAGAAGTAGAAATACAGCTACATGTGCTGTCATATTTTAGTTTAAAAGTAGTTTATTTAAAGCACATGAATTAAGTTTTATTAAAAGATTTTGCTCCTGACTGACTTCCCTAGATTTCCTTCTTTGTGCAGACTAGATTCAGCTTTCTGAAACCCATTTTCCTAGTTTTTATTCTAGTCACTCTCATGTATAATGTATTTTATCTGTTTGGATTTAAGGCAATTTTGTATCTTATTAAAAGATACAAAAGTGAAAGAGTATTGCCTCTAAATCCAATTATTTGGCATATTGTCTTGATTACAAAATTTGTTAGTTACATTTATTTGATATTAGTATGTTATGTTATAAAACAAACTTATTTTTATGATATGAAGGCATTACATAGGAGCTGAAGGTAGGAGTTAAGTAGAACTCTCAACTTCTGTGTTCCATCCCCAGCGCCAATAACAATAATAGTCACTTTGTGATATGCATATCTTATGGCACATTCTTAAACACAGAATAATGCATACTGTTTAAGTGTACATTAAAAACATATCCTTTTATTTGAAATATTATTTTGCTTGTTAATTACAGGAGAGGTATAAATAAAATACACCTTTTTAAACCCTGATTACTCATTTGTTAGACTTTAGACTCAGTGTTCTAAAGATACTAGATAATAAAAGTAAAAATCCTGCCACATGGAAGAGCTGATTAGATATCCATTGAAAGCTTTCCAACATTCTTCCTTGAATTTCTGAAGCTATTTTTAGAAAAAGTCTGCCTGTGTAGCTCGATGTCTGGATTATTCTTGTTAGGAGATGTAGCTATGCCCCTTTGGTTTAACAGTAAAATGAAGATAATGTTAAAGAGAGAAAATACATAAGCTGCAGCCATGGTAATAATTATTTGATGATTTGAACATAAACTCCAATGGATTAAAATTCTAACTTTTAGATCAAGTTGGCCTTCATGTTTAAATAATTGTCTTTTCCTCTTGAGACTAAGAAACTAGTTGTCATTTATTCTGGAGGGTAAAGGACATGTCTGCAATGAAAAGCTTTGGATTTCTCTTTAATACTGAAGAGTGTATTAGACATGGTCTTTTGGTGAGCTGCATTGCTCAGGCAAGTATTGTAGTGGTAAGTAGTTGGGAAAAAAAAAGTGCTTTTCATTTCAGGTTTTGAGATCACCATTGAACACCCACACACAGATGTAGTGAAATGCACCCAGTTAGTAAGAGGTGAGTGGTCCCTCAACCCTCAATCATCTGGGATGAATGTTGTTTTCTTTTCTCTAGGATTGGTATGGATACTTTGTAATCTTTAAGTCTTTTGTTGGGTTTTATTAAGAAGGGAAAATGTAAGCCAGGCAGTGGTGGCACTTGCTTTTAATCTCAGCACAGGGAAGGCAGAGACAGACAGAGAAACCCTGTCTTTGGGGCGCGGAGGTTAAATAATCGTAGAGCAAATGTCATCTTGAAATAGTATTCATCTACTTTGGTCTGCATTTCTCCAAGTGCATTTGGTTGCTTGTGTGTGCTGGTAGAGAAAACTAGCAAAGCCTATCATACACCACTGTGGTTCCTATTAAACCATATGTAAGCAGGAGCCCTTTGTGTTTGTTGTGGCACTAGAACTCTTCCCCCAGGTTGCCAGTGTTGCTTCTCTAGTTCCCATTTGGATTATTTATGGGTGCATCACAGCCTCTGGGGACCACTCCTGTGCTTTCTCTTTTTTTGAAAATAGGATCCTGTGGTTTCAGTCTCTTGCAGGATTTTTAAGGTTTATTTTTAAACAAAATGGATAAGACTTTTGAAGACTGGGACTTTTTGTTGGAGAGAGAGAGAGAGAGAGAGAGAGAGAGAGAGAGAGAGAGAGAGATAGATAGAGAGAGAGAATGTTAATAGTCTCATTCATTCTAAATTGAATTCATTTTATATCTAGATAGTATTTTATTTTTGCTAATACCAACATTGGAAAACAAGCCTAGAGTCTTCATAACCAGCACCCTTGCCAAAGTAGAGTTCTGAGACTCATATTTTAATCCTAGGATGATACTTTATCAGTGAACCATTTTGTAAACCACAATATTTTAATTATAGTTCCTATTCTTCTCAAATATATTTTGTGGCACATTCCCTTCCCCGATTATAGTAAAGTACAGATTAAATAGCTTACTTAACTAGCTGTAGGTGTGAAGAAGAAAAGCTTGTAGATTGATCTCCCTGAAAACTTGAAAGAACAAACTAGTCTTTGCAAGGAAGCAAACCATGTAATTTGCTAAGTCAAGAGCCTAATGAAGAAAGACATTATATACGCTAATAATATTAGTAACACTTTAACAAAGGTGTATGTATTGCCTTAGGAAATAAAGCTGGATTTAGAATTAAAAAAAAAAAAAACTACAGATTTGATACACCATCTACCAAAAAGAGTTTTGTTATTGTTTAATTATTTGACGTTCTACTAAATTCTGGTTTCTAGCCTGAACCTTGAGTACAGAGAGAGAGAGAGAGAGAGAGAGAGAGAGAGAGAGAGAGAGAGAGAGAGAGAGAGAGAGAGAGAGAGGGAGCGTTTCATGTGTGTTTGGCGGGGGAGGGGGCTGTCTGTCTGACTTGGCTTTGAAGTAACTGAGCTTACTTCCTTTAAAGATGTTCTTTCATCTTTAGTGTCTTAGTTTCCTTTGCTCTGTTAAGACTTTGAACTAACAAAAACACTTTCTCTTCATTCCCGTTTTTTGAATTTAGATACAGTCCTTGGGAAATGTGATACCATAATTGAATGTTTTTATTGTTTTATGGTTGGTTGGTTGGTTGGTTGGTTGGTTTTGTTTGGTGGTGGGTGGACATTCATATAAAGCCCTCACCTCCTGCTCCAGATGAGACAGTTGCTACTTTGCTGCAGAATTGGCTGTTGTCATTTACAGGGACCTTTCACTCTGTGATCTCTCCTTCCCTCCCCACCAGGAAAGAATACCATACTTAAGTCACACTGCCTCCAAGACCTCTGGTGCTCTGACAGTCTTCCTTAGCACAGCTCTGCCAGACCCAATCCTTTTTGTTAAACCTTCCCTTGATGATCACATGGGGCAGCAGGGATTACAGGTGCCATGAGTGAAAACTAGGAGGGGAAGGAGTCTGGGGACTAGGGAGGGTGGGATTCGTGGCTGCCAAACTAGGTTAACAGTGATTTTTGAACAGTCGGGGTGGGGGTGGGGCTGATGAGGTCATTCCTATTGGGAAGAATATGGGATAGGAGAAGGGGAAGGAAGGGGAAGTTCTAACTGTCTTAGAACTAGTTAAAAATTGCTTTCCTGTTGGACCAGTATCTAAAGAATCCTTATTTCCCCTAGAATACTCCTCTTTCTAGGTATTATCTCTAATTGGGGTCTGTAAATTTAAAAAGTGTAGTGGGGCTTTCTATATTCTGTTACTATGTAATAACATGGTAAAAAACTGAGGTTGTACTCTGAGTTTGGGGTGGGGGTTGTTTTGTTACATTTTAAAGAAAATTTAAGCCAGCCTAAATATGATGACAGGATTAAGTTTGGCAGGCAACTCTTTGTATTTTGTACTAGACTTCAAAAATCTTTTCTTCTTCTTCTTCTTCTTTTTGTTTTTTGTTTTTTGTTTTTTTTTAAATCCAGGAGAATGCTTTATTTCAACTTTTAGCTGACTAGATGCTTAACTTAGTATCGAGTTTAGCCTAGCTAAAAGCAAATCGGCTTGTTTCTCAGATCTATGGGGGATAGCAAGAAACATTTGAGTGAATGTTGTTGAAGATTTTCAGTAGTATAGAAAATGATGGCGCTCTTGTGATATTTGTAAGTAGTAAGTAAAATTTACTTTTTGTGTACAAATCTTTGATGTTTTGTTGTATTAAGAGTTTTGTGGTGTTTACACATTGAAGCTGATGATATTGTCTTCGTTCTTCTTTCTTTTCTTACAGCAAGCAAGGATTTGGCACAGACATCCTATTTCATGGCTACCAACAGGTTGTTATCCTGACCCTCTTTGTTGCACTGTTGTAGCACACTATAGCTTCCTTTAATGCAGGGCCCCCTCAACGTGTCTCTTGCCCTTGTTGCAACAGGAGACTGGACCATCTACTGTGGTGGTACCTTCCTGGTTGCTTTGCGGTGTATTGTACAAGGGACTTTGGGCACAGAGGGGTTAAATGCACACTGTGAAGTGTAGTGGTGCTTTCTGGTGGCATATTCTCGATTTGTGAGTGCATAAGTCTAAACTTGGTAGCCTGAATAGCAGCTAAAGATTACACAGAGCTAAACTTAACCTAGAAACTTGGTAAGTATAAAGCTATTTCTAGTTTACAATTATAGTTAAATGACATTTCTTTTTTAATTTTCACATTGATCCAGTCTTTTTAAATAATTGTTAAAGTTTCTTAAGTAAAATTTATGTGATTTGGGGCTTATTCCAGATAATATTCCAAATAATAAATTAGAAGTAGTCACGTATTATCAGTGCCTAGGATTGCAGAGATACTTTAAAAGTCCCGCTTTTCTATTTAGAGAAAATAAAAATATAGTATGTGTTCGTGGCTCTTCAGTAATTGTTTCATCTATTCTAAACTAGAAAAATAGTTCAGAGGAGGCTCTAAAATTGAATGTATGGTTCTATTCTAGATTGATGTTAAAGGTTGAAAAAAAATTTTTTAAGTGGGCACTATGGAAATGGGAACCAAACTACCGTTTTAGATTAGCAAAACTTAGACCACTGGGCATGGTGGCATGCCCATGTCATCCCAGCCCTAGAAGATGGAGACAGAAAGGTCAGGATTTCAGGGTTGTCCTTGACTATATTGAGAGTTTGTGACCAGTCTGTGATACATGAGACTCTGTCTCAAAAAAACTTTGCAAAATTTCACGTGCCCAATTTTTGGTATATAATGAGAAGTAAAGTTAGTATTTATTAGTATTGGTTGACTTCTTTTGAGCCTTGAAATTTTTTGGCAAAAGGTAAGTTCTCTTTAAGGCTTTGCTGGAAGGGTCACAGAAATTTACATGAACAAGGACTGATTGACTAAGAAGTATTTTTGCTATTAAGCCACATAACATCAAATGGTCTCATCTTTGATTGTTCCATTAAAATTGCTTTGTTTTATAATGTCTTTACTTTTTTGCCATAACATTAAAAAATGAACCAAGACTACCACAAAAAAAGGTTATGTTGTATATATGATAATTATTGTAAATATACTATTTTCCTTTGTATAATACCTTATTAGACTTTAAAACAAAAGATTTATTAGTATTAATTATGTAAATAAAATATAATACTATGGGGTGAGAATGAAGAAAGTGTTTCATGATCTATATAAAGGCTTTGTGTTATAATTTTCAGTAGTGTTAGCTCTTAATAGAATATCATTATGTAAAGAAAAACACTTCTGATTTTGTTTGCTTTTGTCTTACTGGCAAATGTTTTTCTTTGTTTTACATATTTTGAATTTTTGTGGCCCTCCACTTTTAAATCTGCTGTACACCAGTTTGCATCTTACGACCTTCTGTCTTCAGTACAAACCCACGGTGATAGCATGTGTGTGCATTCATTTGGCTTGCAAATGGTCCAATTGGGAGATTCCTGTGTCAACTGATGGAAAGCACTGGTGGGAATATGTGGACCCTACAGTTACCCTAGAGCTGCTAGATGGTAAGTAGAGGGAAGAGATCCTTTCCTGTGTGAAGACTATACTATAAGCTTTTTCTGTAAATGCAGTACATTATACCACAGTGGCTCCAGTTTCAAGTCCAGATGTCCTTTAATTTACTAGTATTCGTATTTCAGAAGGTAACATCTCTTTAAAGGCCCACATTTAGTTCCATTTTTGATGGAAGAACTTAAAAGTACAGTTAGGAGTATTTTGAAATAAGGAACCTATGAACCACATCAACCATCAAATGTTTATTAAGCACCAGTTCACACAGAAAGCCCCTTTTAGGGTTCTTCAATAAATAGAATTTTAAATTTTTATTATTTTCAGTTTTTATGCAAATTAATGTAATAAATGAGTTTTATTATGGCATTTTCATATATGGGAGTCACTGTATTTTGTTCTAATCTGTCCCCTTGTCCCAGGTTGATGGGACATGAATAAGCTGGACTGGGTGTGGTGGCACATACTGTTAATCCCAGTAATTGGGAGACAGAGGCAGATAGATCGAGGGTTCAAGACCACCCAGGATACACGGTGAGACCTTGTCTCAAAGAAGTAAAAAAGAATAAGCTGGAAATACCACATACCAGTTGAGTTTTGTCTATTAGATTAAGAGATGTTAAGTATACTAATCTTGTTGCATTTAAAACATGTAAACTAGGATCAGGATATAACTAAAGTCCTAAGCTCAATCTCAAACACTTTTACAAATGTAAGCTCAAAGTTGTGTATTAGCTTCCTGTTAGGCCATAGGGTTTCTTCCTTATGATGTCTCTTACATTATTAATTAGGAATGAATAAGGGAAAATTAAGTACAAGTCCTACCAGTTATGAACCTGCGATTTGAGGGTCTCTGGTAAGAGACAATGATAACTGATTAAAAAATAAACCAGATTGTTGAGATGAGTGATAAGCACTCTGAGCAGGTATAAGATTTCAAAAAGAAAGTAGACAGCAAACTGAAGCAGAGGTCAGATTTTTCAGTTCTCTCTCTTTGAGACTTCCAATCCCTGTTTACAAGAAGAAGGCTGATGGGAAGACAGACTTCACCCCCTTTACTATTAAAAATACTAATTTTACTACATAGAGTGCAGAACCCAGGGTTATAGAGTTTGTGGGGCAGTGGGGTTTCGCCATCAGCTAAAAAGGAGCCACAAGCAGTTTATAAGCCAGTAGTGGGGCTACAGGTCACATTTACCTGACTGGCTATATTTGGCCTACCTCACTTAAGAAACACGTGCTTTTTTTTTTTAATGGTTAGTTTTTTGTTTTCTTTTTTTGTTTGTTTTCCCAATTTATTTGGAGGAAAACTAGTAAAGGTCTTTTCATTTGCTTCCCTTTGTCCTGTACCTTGAAAAAAGATTAGTTTGTTATGTCATCATCTCACTTTAGCAGTCAATAGATTGTAAGTAATCTGCCTTTTTTCTTGCTTTTAGGATGTAAGTACAGTTAACCTTACTGTTATTATAATTGATGTAAGAGCCACCTGTTATTTTCCTCTACTTCTGTATAGGCTCCAGTTCATTATTGATTTGGAAGTTGAAACTCTATATTAAAATAGTAGTATAATTTCTGTTTTGATCAAATTGTCTGTAGTATTTCTACTATTATTACTTCCTGAAGCTACTCATTTAGTAACTGTCCCCAAACAGCATTGGCTTAGATTTAGCCTAGTTATAAGGGTCTTTGCATGTGAGTGTGGGTGCATATGTACTCATTAAAGTGGTTTATGTCTCATTCTGTCTGTAGATTAGCTCCAAGGAAGAAAGACCTCAGTAAAGAAACCCCTAGGAGTTGGAGCCAGGAGAGTCAGTTTGAAGCCATACTCCCAGGCAGCCTAGGCTACATGAGTCCCTGTCTGTCAATGGGGGTGGGTGGGTGGATGGACGGATGGGTATAGAAGAAAGGCCTCTATTTTAGACCTCATACCCTCTGTAGTTCATGTAAATTGTTTATTTACATTAATGGATTATTGCAAAATTTAACAGAATAAGATACTTGAGAGGAAAAGCCAAGCCTGCGTTTTTGTCTATGTGCAGATAAAATTTGTGCAGGAAATTTGAGGCAGAACATCCTCATTCACACAGGACCCAAAAATACCTGGATATTCTCTACATTTGTTGGTGCCTGGTGAAAAGTGATCTTTTCAAAGGAGGAAATGGAATTCTCAGCATTGGATATTTTATTTTATCCAGACTTGCTCAAAAGCTCCTGAGACTAAACAGGAAACAGTCTGGAATTACTGAGGAAGCTCCATCTAAAAGCATGGTTGACTTAGACTTTAGTTGATGAGTACTTTTAGCACAGTTTTTATAGACTGATCTTAGTGATGTGATATAATGCAGTCATTACTGTCTAGAGTGCTGGGCATTGAACCCCAAGTCATATGTGCCAGGCAGCATCTCATCCCTTCACAGGCTGAGTTTGGTTAGTTGTCATGCTGTGACAACCTTTAGATAGCTGTGTATATAGTGATACTGAATTAATTTTTTTTATGTCCTGCTATGGGACATCTTAACTGTTTTTCAGTCTTAACACTGGCCTAGGCTGGGTGACAGGAAAACTTGCTATTTGCACTGAATCAGTGAATGTGCCTCTGCTTGGTCCCACTGTGTTAGATTGACTTGGCATGGTTAATACATATAATAAGCCTCATTTGACATGTTTGTCATTGACTATTAATGATGGCTTTTAGGTGATAAAGGTATAATTTAACATGGCTATGCCATTTTGGAACGGTAGTCACCTCATTGTAATCCTAAACTTAAGGTGATGGATAAATTAGATAATGGATAAAAGTCTTACCAGAGTAATTTGCTAGTATAGCGCTAAAATTGCTGGGAAGTGTGAATATGGGTAGAATTTTCTTCTTTTAGATATTTAACCTTGAAATAATTTTAAGCTTAAAGAAATTGTAAAAACATTTAAAGAAATCCTTGTGATGTATTGAATCCTAGCTTCTGTTGTTGACATCTTATATAGTGTTTGGTTGTTAAGATTAGGAGATTAACACTGGTATAATACTACTTATTAAACCTGGTTTCTGTTCAGATCGCCCCATTTTCTCTGGTGTAGGGTCTTAATGTTCTGTTTGTATCCAACTGAAATATCCAGATAGTCACCTCCAGGCTGTCAGGGCTCTCTCTGTAATTGCTTCTGATTGGAGGACTAATAAGTGATTTCCAGATTGTCTGATGTTTTTTCATCGTTGAGATTGAGTGTTCTTGGCAAGAATACTACAGAAGTAGGTACTTGCTTGCCCCTCAAGCATGGGACGGCATTCACTTAATGCTGGTCACGTGATAATGGTGGTGCTTTTGAGTTCTTCGTTGTAAAGCTCTTCTTCCTCTTTATAATTAAGCCTATTGGGGAAAATACATTTAGGGCTATACAAATGAATACCTTTTTCTCAGACTTCTGCCTGCAAATTTTAAAGAACCCATTGGTGGCTCTCTCCTCTGTGAAATATTGCTATATTGTTTGCCTGGTAGAGAGTCCCACCACCACCACCCTCCAGGAGTTTATTTTCTAAGCAAGCAGGTGAAATTCGGGGAAGGAGAGATCTTTTTTGAGTGAATACAGCTTTGAAATAAACAGTTCAGAATTGTATCTACTTCTGTGTATGCCAAAGACTGAATAGGAAGTTAAGAATAAAAGGGATGAACTCTTAGGACCCCTTTTAAATATTGTCCACTTGAGAGAAGTTCAGATCCTAAAGGCACCGTCTAAGCTTTAAATTTAAATTTTATTTTTAGAGCTAACACATGAGTTTCTACAAATATTGGAGAAAACGCCTAGTAGGTTGAAGAGGATTCGAAACTGGAGGGTAAGAGAATTGGCAGGATTTAACAAAATATATCAATTTGTCACTACTCTAGCAATTGCCTAACAAATGGTTTGAAATTGAATGACTGAATACTGTGCTTTGCAGTATTTCCCAATACATTGATTCAGTATACCACACTTGGACTGCAGGTGCTCCTAGTTGCTCAGCTCCTGTGTCCAGTGAACTGTCTATGTCATATCTTTTTTTTTTTTTTTTTAATTAGTCTTAGTCATGGGGAAATTCCCTTAGCTTTACAAGTGAGGCTAAAGCCTACACAAGTTATTATCTCAAGTCCTGGGTTAGGATGTAATTGTTTCAAATTCTCAAAACTTAGAGTCTTCTGTTTCATTCATTTATTGCCTTAGAACTTTGAGTCCAGATGGTTTTATTTCTGTTTACATCCTATAGATTTTTACAAGCAAAGAATTTTGTATTAAAACCCCTTGCTGTCATTGTTTCTTCTATTTCTCATTTAACTAGGCTATGGCTAAGAAACCAAAAGTAGATGGACAAGTATCAGAGACACCACTGCTTGGTTCATCTTTGGTCCAGAATTCCCTTTTAGTAGATAGTGTCACTGGTGTACCTGCCAACCCAAGTTTCCAGAAACCTTCCACATCAACGTTCCCTGCTCCAATACCTCTAAATCCAGGAAATACGTCTGTTCAAGACAGCCGTGCATCTGATACTTTGTCAGTGCTAGCAGCAGGAATGCCCAGTACCTCATACAGTTTGTCGTCACACCAAGAATGGCCTCAGCATCCGGACTCAGCCAGGACAGACCCAGTATACACACAGAAACAGGAGGCCACACTCTCTGGAAGCCAGTACATCAGCTTCCAGCAGGGACCTTCAATGACACTGCATTCGGGATTACATCACAGGCCAGACAAAATTGCTGATCATTCATCAGCTAAGCAAGAATACGCTCACAAATCTGGGAGCAGTAAGCACCATGGGCCCATTCCTGCTGCTCCTGGAGTGGTTCCTCAGAAAATGTCTTTAGATAAGTACAGAGAAAAGCGGAAGCTGGAAACCCTTGACTTGGACACAAGGGATCATTATATAGCTGCCCATGTAGAGCAGCAGCACAAACATGGGCCAGCCCAGGCAGTCGCAGGCAGTTCTGTCACTTCTCCCATTAAAATGAAACTTCCTGTCACCAACTCCGACAAATCTGAGAAACACATGGCAGAGAAAAAAGAAAAGAGTGGATCACTGAAGTTACGGATTCCTATCCCACCCCCTGATAAAGGTCCCAGTAAAGAAGAGCTGAAGATGAAGATCAAAGTGTCATCCTCAGAAAGACACAGCTCTTCTGATGAAGGCAGTGGGAAGAGCAAGCACTCGAGCCCACACATCAATAGAGACCACAAGGAGAAGCACAAGGAACACCCTGCCAACCGCTACCACAGCAGCCACAAGCATTTGCACATGCTCAGCGGAGGAGGTAGTAAGCATGCTGCTGATGGGATGCCACCCACTGTGCTGAGGAGTCCTGTGGGCCTGGGCCCGGACAGCATCTCCTCCAGCTCCAGTGCAAGGAAGAAGCTGCATATCAATGATGCCTCCCACAACCACCACTCCAAAATGAGCAAAAGTTCCAAAAGTTCAGGTAGTTCATCTAGTTCTTCCTCTGTTAAGCAGTATCTATCCTCTCACAGCTCTGTTTTTAACCATCCCTTACCCCCTCCTCCCCCTGTCACATACCAGGTGGGCTACGGACATCTCAGCACCCTCGTGAAACTGGACAAGAAACCAGTGGAGCCCCACGGTCCTGAGGCCAATCACGAGTACAGTACAAGCAGCCAGCATTTGGACTACAAAGACACATTCGACATGCTGGACTCGCTGCTAAGTGCCCAAGGAATGAATATGTAATCATTTGTTTAGGTCAACTTTTCCTTTCCTTTTTAATTTAAAAATGGTTGGAATGGAAAACTTCCTCCTGATCCAGCAGTGGTGCCACTGCTTCTGTATTTGTAAGTGCTGCTTTATTCTTCATTCTGAAAAGAAGAGATGATAGTAAACAAGTCTTTCTCCACATGATAGTGTTACCAGTACTGTAAACGCATGGAAGATGCAGCTAAGAACATTAGGATGAATGGCTGGCTGCTGCTAGGAATCTAAGCTGCCTCAAGCTTTTGTTATTTATGATTTGAATACTGTAGCTGTTTTTTTGTTGTTGCTTGGCTTTGAATGAGTGTAAATTGTTTTCTTTTGTGTATTTATACTTGTATGTATGGTTTGCATGTCTCAATGATAAAGGGATAAAACAGTATACTGACAACTGTTTACAAGAAAGTGGAGAAAAATGTACATACATTTTTGTATGTTTAGATATTACCATAAATACTCAGGATTGGAGCTGCTTGTAAGTATAACTATACAGAATAACTTTATTTTCTCTCGTCAGAGTCCATCACTAATCTAAAACACAAGTGGCACTTTTTTATGTTACCCTTAAACTCTAGGCCTTACTGGAAGCCGCTGAGGGACACTTCACTACTACATGGGGATGCGGTGCCGCGGGGGGTCCTTAACACTGGGAAGCGCTCAGTTTGCCTTCAGAGAGTCTGACCAGATTGGCTACAGAATCAGCCCTGATTTCTGAAGGCTTGAAGAGGAAAAGAAAAAGACAAAAGTTTACATACACTTGATGTGAAGTGCATTTAAATGTTTGTTGGCTTGTTGCAGTGCTGTAGAAGAACAGTTAATAATGGGTATGAGGGTGACTGTGGCTTAACTCACAGGAGCTCCCAGTGAAGAGTTTGTCCATTTCTTCAAGAACTTTGACACTATAGATTTTAACAGTGAACAGGGGTCACTTTTCCTTTACATTTGCAGTGACACCGTAGTCTTTCATACACTCTTCCCACGGGGAGAGAGAGTGAGTGAGTATGTATTAGGGAGAGAGAGATACCATTTCTTTTCAGGTAAATGCAGTCTTCCTTATAAAGATGAAATTAAACCTATGCTCTCTTGATTCTTTTATATTCTGACAATAAATAAAAAGAAAACATTGCTGACTGTATTTATAGCTTATGGTCATTATCAGGAAAATGTAAGGAAAAAGGCCAGCCTCAGGCAAGCCACTGCTGGAGGTTTTACATTCGTTTGCACGTCTTAGTAGGTTCTCATTGAGGTGACGCTTGCACTGTCACCTGACACATGGTCAGGGGATAGACTAATTTATCTAAATTTTGGTGTAAGCACCAATAGTATGGCTCTTGTATTTCTGTGGTAAGTCTTAGCTGTTGAGTCTCTTAAGATGGGTCGGATTCAACTTGTATTGAATCACAATTTTCTCTGTATATGAACTGTTATAAAGCCACTGATCTGTGCACAATTGTAATTTTATTCAAGTATGTTGTGGTTGTAAATATTAAGAGTTGAGCCTTGTACTCTACTTTTATTTAGCAATTACCTAATTTTCCAGTAGCTATTTGTTTGTTTGTTTGTTTGTTTTTTAAGGAAAATTGTTATTATTTTGTCAATGTTATTTGAACTTGTGATGTCAGGAGCCTCTTTGTGGGAACTCTGCCTAGCAGGCTCATCATCACTCTGTTCTTATCTTGCATCAGTAATCTGTTACTATGTGATTTTGTTGCTGTGTGGTATACTATTGTATCATAAACATGGTGATTCTGATGCAGTTACAGTTTACTGTGGTACATATTCAAGGACTAGCATAGAATTAAACAGAGTGCAAGGTGAGGAGGGAGGGAAGGGTTTTGTTCTTGGTGATTTAGATGTGAAACCTCGACAGAGCATCATGTGAACTGACATGGGGTGGTCATGCTACTGTATCATTGGGAGTGATGCCAGGAATTTTAATCAGCTTTTGTAAAGAGTATCCAGAGAAGTAGTGAACTTATTTTCAGTATGACATAGACAACAATGTGAATATTTAAGGTCTGGGACTATAGTTAAACTTCACTAAGGATTTTCAGAAATGTGTTGTGTTTTTTGTTTGTTTGTTTGTCTTTTTTTAGATATGGGAATAAAGGTAATTTTGTTGAATCTTATTGGTGCTAATGACGGACAGTTAAACAGATAGTGTATATGCTGTGGATCAGTACACTTAGTACTTCCAGAATTGACTTTGAAATGCTATGTATTCACTTTTCACTCTGTAAATGTAATTCTTTACAATGACTATTTATTAAAAGGCAGTCAGTCTTGATTTTTACAGGATTGTGTGAACTATTCAAACTCTTCATCCTCTGAACAAGATGCTAAAACCACAATGGGGGAAAATGTGTGAATCCTCTTAGGTTTCCTTTCCACTAAGAAAACCTTCAATTCATATCACCCTGAATTTGCTTGAACCATCTTGTTTGCATAAAATAGTTCATCTGCATGGTCCCATTAGACTCTACCAAAGAAAAAAGACTCAATGAATGGACGTTCTATTGTGAGTCTTCTAAGTAGCCATAAATAACCAAAATAGTATCAAACTTAGGTGTGAAATTTCACATGTGCGAAGTACTGTTAAGGTGATACATTTTGATGAGTTTTTTAATACTTGAAAATATTAAAAACATTAAATTGTCCTATAAAAGAGTGATTCATTCTTAAGGATGTGTTTCCCTAGGTTTGTGACCTTTTTGCAAAAGCACATTGTAATCAGAGGCATCCTGTCTACCTCTCTCAGCTAATTTTCCAAAATCAAGATGTGCTTCCTAAATATTTGCCTTAGATACTAACGTGCAGTTTTCAGGACCAAAGCAAGGGAGTGTTTGTCTGCAGAAGTCTTTTTGTAGGCCTGTATTACACACTCTGTGGCAGTGCCCATTGGTGGAGAAGGCCTTGCATGTCTCCTAGTATCAGATAGTAGCAATGGAAGGCAGTGGTAGTGGTCCCGGGCACCCGTTAGAGCAATGACTGCATCTCAGTGCATCTCAGTCTTCTTTGTTGTTCAGAATATTCAGCCTTCTAAGATGTCTTCCATGGTACAGGTTATCAGTTTTCTTCAGGAATGTCATGAGTACATACTTTGTGCCAACAGATTGTTATATAGGACTCCCAAACTTTTAGACCTATCTGTCCCCTTTGTACTAAAAATAGAACTAGTTAGGGATATATACCTTAGAGAAACAGTTTGGAATGTTTTCATTAATTACAAACACCTTGCCTTAAGAGGTTTCAAAAAGTGTATTTTCTTATCTGAGAGTTTAAATTCTGATTTTATTCCTTATCCAGCCTGAGGAATAATCCACTGCCTGTATATGCACAGATGGAGCATGAGTTGTTGATTAGATAACTCAGGCTCCAGCACTATGGAGATAGTTTGCTTAGATAATATCTAAGTAAGAGGAAAGTTTCTGGTTTGGGTATATTGAGACACAGTCCTAACTCAATACAGGCTGGCTTTGAAGCCTCTACCCATGCCTGGATCATTGTTTTAAGCTATTCCCAATCTTACCTGAGCAAAAAGGGACTTCAAATGTGGACTTAATTTGCCGGAAGATTCTGAGGATTTCTTTGCTGGGGGAAAAAGAAAATCTGGAAACTCGGTAACAACCTTTGGCTTGGTATTTCTCTTGATTGAGCAGTTTCCCCCTCAGGATCCTCTCTTGGGCAGGGCTAGGATCCGATCAGCACATTTACACAGGGAAAGAGTCAGGAAAGCCCATGCTAGGGGAATGTGAGTGGACTGAGTTTAACTCTCCTGTGCCTGTTGGTTTAAGAGAGGTGGGCTGAAACAGTGCATTCCTGGTTTTCCTCAGTACTGTGTTGGTCCTATTGATACTAGGGTGTGTGTTTAGAATGCAGGCACTTTGTGTAATACAAGTCAGCAGTTAGATGGAAGCCAGATGAGATGCTTGTTGGAAACACCTGTCTTCATGTTAGTGGTCTGGATGGTACTGACGTGCTCCAAGTTCTTTGTTATTCCAGTTTTGAATTGTGCCCAGCTGGCTCTTTGCTCTGTGAGTCCCCTTTCCTGGTCTGTGATTTCCCATCTTTCCTGCCTGGTGTATTCTTGAGGTATCCTGATAATGCCCAAAACTACATGGGTAGGGGCAGTTCTGGTCCCCTAAGCTGTCTTCATCCTTTCACTGCAATTCAATAATCTCAAAAGTCAATCCTGGGAACTGTGTAGCTTCCCTTTGTTTCCAGGTTTTGAGAGGAAACCTCACTTAAATTCCTCCAACCGACAAGTTCATTTAGTAGTTTGTATAACTTAATTGGCCAGTTGAGAGTAGCTTCTCTTGATTAGGAAAAGGTTCCTGAAGTACCAATTTGTTATGGGCAGTGGAGTTTGAACGTTCAAAACCCTTGTGGATAATTGAATGAAACAAGAAAATTGTATACTGGCATGAATTAGCCTTTGAATTTCAGCTTCTCATTACATAAGGAATTACTAATAAAGTTTGTTTATTGACAACCAAATACAAGGCTGTAACATGTCTTAAGTTAATGTGAATCTAAAATAAACCTAAAATATCAGTTCCTGGGGATAATGGGAAGTTTGCTGCAATATAATTGACTCTCATCCTTCCAAGTACCCTATAAGTCACCCAGGAAGGAGTTTGACTGGAATGGGGTTCTCCACAGTGTCAGCCTCAAACTTGACAGTGGTGGTCATGGCTAAAGGACTGAGTTTTGTACTGTGTTCTCTTACAAGTAAGGGCCCATGTAGCCCAGGCTGGCTGGTTTTAAACTCACTACGAAGCCGAAACTGGCTTGAGCTGCCCTTGGCAGCTACAGATGAGCACAGTACGCCAAATTTTTTATGCGTTTTAAACACTTCTTAGCTGCTTCCAAGTCCCCTCCACCAGTTTTCCAGTACTTTCTACTGGAAAGAAAATAAAAGTCATAATTTTAATAAAGTAGAATTGGGAAGCTTGTTTCCTATAGAAATCTATGTTAACCTAAATATAGTTTGTTTTGTTGGGGGTGGGATGGCAGCAGGTACCACTATACCCTTGTGGAGGTCAGAGTACTACCTTTGGGAGGCCATCTGCCTTCTGAGCCATCTCACTGGCCTTTGCAGGTGAATTTACTCATTTGTAGATGTGCTGACAACAGCAAAGGACTCTCACTGAAGCGGTGCTAACACAAACCTCTTGGGTTTTTTTGTTTTTCCAGGCTGTCCCTGTGGCCTCACAGGAGAGGGTTAAGGTCTGTGTGGAGACCTGCACCCTAACATTCTAAGCTCCAGAACCCCTCTTCATGATAGCCTGGTTTTGCCGCTGAGAAATGTACATAGTAGAATAGGAGCATAAGTCGTAATTGTAACAGTGGGCTTCTTAGAACTTGAGGCCAGAAAGAGCTCCAGGAAGTACTCATGAAGACCTGAGTTTGACTCCCAAACCCACATTTGTCTTGGTTTGGTTTTTCGAGACAGTTTATCTGTATAGCCTTGGCTGTCCTGGAACTCTATAGACCAGGTTATTGGAAAACTGCCTTTGCCTCCCAGAGTGCTGGGATTAGAGGTGTGTGGCACTTTAAAAAATGTGGAAGCTTCTGGGCCAGCAACCCTGGAATATACAGATCCTCAACAAAATGACTCCCCAAAGTTGGGACTCTGAGCTCCACATACACTCTGGTATACAGGTACACACACATAAACATACAATGATAAAATTGGAAGACTGCACTGACCCATGGTCCGTGGTAGTAATGTCAGTGTTGGTGAGGTAGACAGTGCATCTCTGGTGCTCACTGACCAGCTAGTCCAGTATTGTACATCAATAGAAGGGGGTAGACCTGTCAGCTAATTTATTTTGCTGTGGTCTGTAACAGTGAAAACATGCCTTGTTCACCACCCTTTCCCCAGAGGTTTTAACAGGCTTGAACAGAAGTCGTCATTGCAAAGTTCAAAATACCAGATTTAAATGAGTTTTGGCTGCACGGTGGTAGTGCACACCTTTAGGCGGGCAGATCTCCACCAGGGCTACACTGAGAAACCCTGTCTCAAAACTCCCCCGCCCCCCCCTCCCAGGTGCTGGAATTAAAGGGCTGCACCACCACAACCTGGCTGAGAATAGTCTTCAAACAATAGCTGTCAAGTTTAGTAGATAAACATCAGATACAGCCTACCAGTATAAAAGGTTTATAATCTTAACGATTTTTACTGGTGTTTAGAAAGGCGAATAACTGAGTAACTACAGTGGAGATGACTTCAAGCCAAGTAACCAGCGAGCAACTGTCAAAGCAGCCTGGGGTTTGTGACCACACCTTAAATAGTTAAATTATTTGAACTTTTTTTTTTTTTTCTTAACAGTCTAGGACCATTAAGAGTTTGAAAGAAGCTAGGTGGTGGTACACACCTTTAATCCCAGCACTCAGGAGGCAGAGACAGATGGATCTCTGAGCTCAAGGCCAGCCTGATCTACAGATGGAGTTTTAGGACAGGCTCCAAGGCTATACAGACCCTGTCTTGAAAAAAGTTTGAAAGAAAAATAACAGGGCACGCCAGTTAACAATCTAAACAACAGAGGAGAGGCTACCTTAAATGCCTTCCCCTGATAATGAGATTGATGACTAATTTATATGCCATCCTATAGCCTTCATCCAGCAGCTGGTGGAAGTAGAAGCAGACACCCACAACTAATCACCGAACTGAACTGGAATCCAGATTCAGAGAAGGACGAGTGAAGAGCAAAGAGGTCCAGACCAGGCTGGTGAAACCCACAGAAATAGCTGACCTGAACATCGGGGAACTCTTGCTCCCCAAACTGATAGCTGGAATACCAGCATGGGACTGATCCAGACCCCAGGAACATGGGTTTCTGTGAGGAAACCTCGGAAATCTACAGGACCTCCTGTAGTTCAGTCCTTATCCCTAGCATAGGTGTGGGCTTTGAGAGCCTGTTCCATATAGAGGCATACTCCCTGAGCCAAGACACACGGGGGTGGGCCTAGGCCCTATCCCAAAGGATACCCTATGGAAGGCGTCACCCTCCAGGGGGAGCAGAAAGGGTATGTGATAGGTAGGGTTTTAGTTGTGGTGGTGGTAGGGGAAGGACAGGTGGGAGAAGGGAACTGGGATTGTCATGTAAATCAATCCTGTTTCTAATTCAAATAAAAAAAAGTTGAAATAAAATAAATTGCCACAAACTTGTTGACTCAAAACCACAAGAATCAATCAGTAAATGTCTACAGCTGCTGGGAAGAGGGAGCTAGTAAGAGAAAAAAACATGCCTTTAAAGCTGGGCACGGAGGAGGGCTAGCTGCTGTGGGGGTGTCATAGTTTTAATTGCTGTGATAAAACACCATGGCCAAAAAGGGTTCATTTCACCTCATACTCCTGTATCACAGTCCTTCACTGGGGGAAGTCAGGAGAGGAAAAACGGGGCACAAAGAGCAGGAGCTGATGCAGAGGCCGTGGAGGAACTCTTTCCTGGCTTGCTCACCAAGGCTTTCTCAGCCTGCTTTCTTACAGCACCTTGGACCACCATTCCTGGGGTGGCGCCACCACAATGGGTAGGGCCTCCCTCTCAACATCAAGCACTAAGAAGATGCACTGCAGACTTGCATATAGACCAATCTGATGGAGGCATTCTCCAAGTGCTCTTTAGTTCTGAGCTATCTTTCCAGCCGAACAGTTATACTTTTAAAACTAGAACTCAGAAAAGCAGGCCGACTTAGCAGTGGAGATCTGCAAGCAGCTGCCTGGCTTCTTGACTTCGGAGTTCAGAGACAGAATACAAGGCCCTCAGCTCCTGTTACACACCCTAACGTTTCTAGAATAGGTTATAGTGAGATTCCTGGAAAAATTCCAAGTTCTTGGGATCCATTGCTCCAGTACTCTGGTGGCTAAAGTATGGCTCCCTCCCCCCCCCTCCCCCCTTCCTCTCCTCCCCTCTCTCCCTCTCTCCCTCTCCCCCCTCCCTTCTTCGCCTCTCCCTCTCTCTCTTCTCTCTTCTGCCAGGTTGGTTTCAGCATCACATCACCAATCCCCAGGATATCTCACCCTACTTTCCCTGCTTCCTTCAGACTTCTTTTGCAGGAATTAAGTCATGGGTGGCTGCGGAGGTAACTCAGTGGTTAAACTGCTTGCTGCACCTGAATTCAATCCCCCACACCCAAGTTGAAAAAATCATTGGAGAGGTCCTGGAGAGTAGGTACAGCATTAATAAGATATGTTACTCTTGCAAAGGATCTGGGTGCAGTTCCTAGCACCCATATCAGGTGGCTTACAACTACCTGTAACTCCAGTTCCAGGGCATCTGAAGTCATCTGCTGGCCTCTATGGATACCTGCATTTACACTGTATGCATACATACACTCAGACACTCATAAAATAAATATTTTTTTGACAGGAGGATTCCTGGAGCTAGCGAGCCAGCTAGCCTAGACAATGGGTAAGCTCCAGGTCCATTAAGAAACCCTGCCTCAAAAAATAAAGCAGACAGCAACAGAGGGAGACACCAAATGTCAACCTCTGATTTACATATGCACACACACATAAGCACACGCACTCAAATAAATATGAATATTATCGGGCAAAATGTGTGTGACTTATTTTAAACTATTAAAATTGAAAGAAGTAAGCCAGATGTGGTGGTGCATGCCTTTAATCCCAGCACTCCAAAGTAGAGGCAGGCAGATCTCTGTGCATTTGATGCCAACAAGGTCTACATAGTGAGTTCAGGACAGCCAGGGCTACGTAGTGAGACTCTGTTCAAAAAAAAAAATTAAAAGAAGCATATAAAGCAATAGAGATAGTTCTTGGGCAATCAAAATTGCAAACACTGGAATGGGGTTTGATGGGGTTTTAAAAATTAATTTGAAAGTTTCTTCTCATGCAAATAGACAGTCATGCCTGAAGTTTAAGGTCAGTATGTAACTAAAACTTTCCAATAATGCTGCAGGATCTGGTTAAATTGGGCTATGTTGGATTTATAATAGGAAAATAAGTCCCTTAACCATCATTCCCCACAGCAGAGCCAGAAGTGGGGGTAGGAAGTCTAGAGTGGGAAGCTGGTACATGCTCACTGGCTTCTCTTCAGGAAGGAGTGCTTCAAGAGCTGGAGAGCAGATGGTCTCTCATGCTGATCCCTAAAAGGGAGAAAACACATTAGAAGCAGCACACAGTAACATGACAATTACCAACATCTGCATGAATCTGATGCAAACTATTAAGATGGAGGCATAGGGGCTGGAGAGATGGTTCAGGTCAGTTCAGTTCAGTTGCTCTTGCAAAGGACTACAGTTCAGTTCCCGGTACCCATGTTAAGTGGCTCACAACTACCTGTAACTCCAACACCAGAAGATCTGGTGCCCTCTTCCAGTCTCCTCATGCATCTACACATGGTACACACACACAATTAATTAATTAATTAAAAAATGGAGGCACGACTGCTGATCATCCAATGGACTGGCTTGAGCTTCAATTCCAGTTTTTAACTGTAATCTCAAGCAAGTGATGAAAACTTTGCTCACCTGTAAAGTGAGGGCTAACAATACCTATAGTGGGTGAAGTGTTTGTCTAGCACAAACAAAGTCCTAGTACTGCACAAATTGGGCTTGGTGGGGCTCACCCATAATCCAGTACTTAGGTGGAAACAAAAAGATCAGAAATTCAAGGCTATCTTGGCTAAGCATGGATTTGTAGAGCTTGAGACCATCCCTGGGCTACATGAAACCTTGTCTCACTTTTATTTTCTGAAAACCTAACTCATTGGAAGAATTATATAAACATCTAACTTAAACACACACACACACACACACACACACACACACACACACAAAACTCTAGCTGGGTGGTGGTGGTGCACGCCTTTAATCCCAGCACTTGTGAAACAGAGGCAGATGGATCTCTGTGAGTTCAAGGCCAGCCTGGTCTACAAAGCTACACAGAGAAAACTTGTCTCGAAAATGAAAACAAAAAAAAAAAAAAAGAAAGAAAGAAAGAAAGAAAACAGAAAAAAGTACAAAACTCATTGGGTGATGGTAGTAAATGCCTTTAACCCCAGCTCCAGGGAGGCAGAGGTAGATGGATCTCAGTGAAATATAGGCCTGCCTGGTCTACAAAGTGAGTTCCAGGACAGCCAAAACTACACACAGAGAAACCCCCTCTCAAGAAAAGAAGACAATCAAACCTCATGGTACCTATTGTGATTAAAAACAAGGCCCTATTTTTTGTTTTTAATCTTGGTTATTTTGAGACAGGGTTTTACCAAGTATCCCAGGCTAGCCTGGAATTCACTGTGTAGCCCAGACTGTCTTTGGATTTGTAATCCTCCTGCCTTGGCCTCTTGAGGGCTGAGATTACAGGCATATTCCACCAAATCTAATTAGGCTCTTCTTTTCCACTGCATTTGTGTTCAATCTGTTTAGAGTATAATTACATATAGTTTAAAATTTATACCTTCAGGGGTACCATGCTATAAGTACTTTTATTGGCGTTAAATTCATTTGTAAAATTTGAACCAGCAAGTTGCTCAGCAATAGAAGAATTTGCTGCCAAGCCTGACAACCTGAGTTCAATCCCCATAACTCACATGGTGGAAGGAGAGAACCAACTGTCATTAAGTTGTCCTCTGACTTCCATACATGTCCTGTACAGGATGCACATGGCCCCTCCCCCGCCCCAGCACAAATAAATGGAATAAAATTTCTTAGGTATTCAGATTTTTAACTCAGGCCATGGTGGTGCAAGCCTTTAATCCCAGAACTAGGGAGGCAGAGGCAGGTGGATCTCTGTGAGTTCAAGATCAGCCTGGTCTGCAGAGTGAGTTCTAGTACAACCAGAGCTACACAGGGGAACCTTGTGTCATAACAAACAAAAAGAATTCATAGTTTAAAAGACCTTTAAAAGTAGGGATTTATACTGTTTGGGTGTGTCTATTTGTTGAGACAGGCTTTCATGTATCTCATGCTGACTTTGAATTTCTGATCCTTCTACCTCCACCTCCTGAGTGCTGAGGCTACAGGCATCCAGCATGGCCAGTGTATATACAGTACTGGGGATTGAACCCAGGGCTTTGGGCATGCTAGGCAAGCCCTCTACCAACTTAGATTCATCCATAGCTCCTGAAACAGAACTTTGAATGTTGTGAAGGGAATAGCTGCTTCGGGTCTCTAGGTATCTCCTCCTTCTTTGACTTTCTTACCTGGTCAGGCACAAGCGCACAAAGTCTGCCGCAGATTCTGAAAATCGGTCAGGTAGAGGAGGCATTAGGCCTCTGTGGGCTCCAATGTAAAACATGGCTGCCATCCTATCCATGGAAGCCAGAGGAGGCTTCCCAGTGGCCATCTCAAACACAGTGCAGCCGATGCTCCAGATATCTGATTTCCTTCCATAGCCAGACTCATTGATGACCTCAGGGGCCATCCAGTATGGAGTCCCATGCATGGACTTCAGCATGTCACTGTGAGTACCATTTAAGCCTGCCCAGGCCAGACGCTTGGCACAGCCGAAGTCAATCAGCTTTATTGTCCCAGTTGGCATGAGCATGACGTTGTTTCCTTTGATGTCTCGATGGACCACACAGTTCTCATGGAGATAAGCAACACCTTGCAGGATCTGTCTTGTGTATTTACAGAACACCATCTCAGGCAGGGGCCCGAAGCGGTTTATAATACTAGAGATGGAGCCACCAGGGACAAATTCCATAAAGATGCTCACCGTGTTCTCCTCCAAGCATGTCCCTAGATAAGCCACTATGTTTACATGCTTCAGTGCCTTCAGCAAATCTACTTCCTCCTGCAGTTTCCGGTATTCTTTCTCAGTAGCCAATTTATCAGAAGTATCCAAGGCCACCTGCTTCACAGCTATTAGCTGTCCTAGGCTAGTAAGTCCACAGTAAACCTACAAACAAGCCAACACAAATTACTAAATTTATGATAGAGCAATGTGTTCAAAAGTGCCCTTTCCTTTACTTCCCAAACACTTTTTGTCCTCTAAGGCAATCCATCCACAGATGAACGATATATAGTTAAACAAACTCTGCATTCAAGATGGCGATGAGCAAGCATGATGAACAGATGGCAGATTGATTTATAGTCACATGATTACATCAATACAAACTGATTCATAATACTAGATGCCCTCCAGGCATCTATTTTTTAGATAAGTTTGTATTAGTGTTTTGCTTGCTTGTCTTAGTTTTTAAAAACTGACATGTTGGCACATGGGAAGCAGAAACAAGGAAATCTCAGTCAGTTCAAGGGCAACTTGCTCTACACAGTTCCAGGTCAGCCTGGTCTACACAGTTCCAGGTCAGCCTGGTCTACACAGTTCCAGGTCAGCCTGGTCTACACAGTTCCATGTCAGCTAGGGATACATAGTAAGACCCTGTCTGAAAAAAATATTGTCTTTTTATTTTTATTTATGTAATTGTTTGTATATCTTATTTATATGTATCTCTTTGTGTGTGTGTGTGTGTGTGTGTGTGTGTGTGTGTGTGTGTGTGTGTGTATGTACAAAAGAGGGTGCTGGGTCACCTAGAATTGGGGTTACAGGTGGTTATGAGCTGCCCAGTGTGGATGGATGCAGGGAGTGGAATGCAAGTCCTCTGGAAGAACAGGAGACATTTTTAACTGATGAGCCATCTCTCCAGCCCTTCTCTTGTCTTTTGAAGACCATGTCTTATGTAGCTCAGGATGCCTCAAACTCACTTTGTAGCTGAAGATAACCTTAAACTCCTGATCCTTCTGTCTTTTTCTCCCGAGTGCTAGGACTACAGTATGTCTCATCGCACCCAGCAGTAGTCAGATATGTATTCGTGGAGTTGTGTGTGTAAATGGAAGCCAACGGTTGACACTGGATATTTCACTCAATTGCTTCTCTTATTTGTTTGTTTGTTTATTCATTCTTTTATTTACTTATTTTGAGACAGGGTCTCTCTCTAAACATAGAGCTCTCCAATTAGGTTAGCCATTGAGCCCTAGGGCCCCTTCTGTCTCTTTCTCTCCTGTGTACCCAGTTTCTATCAAACTCGGGTCCTTATGCTTGCGCAGCAAGCACTTTACAAACTGAGTCATCCCTCCAGCCTCCTATGTATGGTCTTTTATTTGTTTTTCTTATCTATAAAACTGATATGACATTTGCCTCATGTATTTCTCTGATGAGAATATCAGATGCTGGGAAAGCCCCTCACCAAAAGAATGCACAGGGGCTAAGTCAGAATAAAGCTTTCCAGAAAGAGAAGGGAGCAGGTCCTGCCAGTTACCCCATAATGTGACCCCATAAGTTGCCTTCTTGTGGATTCCTGAAGGGTCCCCAGCTAGAAACTCCACAGATCAGTCTTAAAGTTGGTCTTTTTTCACCTGTCTACTCAATACTCTTTAGGCCACTAAAACTTTAGGGGGTCATTTATGTAACTCCCAAAACACAAAGACCAGCATTTGCATTTGAATTTGCACCCCCTTTGTAGTAAGTCTCCCCATCTCCAGTGCTATGTTGAAACACTGGAGGGGGAGATTTCTTTCCCAATGGGCTTATGATGAGGGTTAGTATTGACTGTCAACTTGACAGAATCTAGATTCCTTTAGAAGACACACATCTGGACATATCTGTGTGGGAATTTCTAAATTTGGTTAACTAAGAAAGGAAGACCCACCCTGAATGTGGCCAGAACCATCCCATGGGCTGGGGTCCTGGGCTGAATAAAAGAGGAAAGTGATCTAAGCACCAGTATCCATCTCTCTATGCTTCCTGACTGCGGATGTCACGTGACCAACTGCAACACACAACTGCTGCCATGACTTCCTCATCTTGATAAACTATACCCTCAAACTTAGAGCCAAATGAATCATTGTTTCCTTAAGTTGATTTTGTCAGGTGTCTTGAAAAAAAAATAGTTAGTGCAGGGCTTGAATGAAGAGAGGCTAGAGGTGCAATGGGTAGTCACTGCCTGAGAGCAAGAGCCGTGAGGGGAAAGCCTGTGAGACAGTTGATCTTGAGGAAATAGTTAAGTCTCTAAAGCCACCCTTGCTAACATCAAATCAACTCCATACCTTTCAAATGCATAAAGAAAGAAACATAATCCCCCTGAAGCAAGTCTGGGTTTTTCTGTGGCTTCCAGCTGAAAATGTTCTAAGTGCAGGCATCATGGAAGAGGGTCAGGGCGGGTGGAGAGTTCTAGCATCAGGATTCAAGGTGGACTTACTGTGCCATAGGCTCCTCTTCCAAGGATCTCACCCTTGGTCCAGAATATAGCTTCTTCATGTTTTAAACTCTTGTCAGAAAGTGTCCTCTTTTCATTTGAGTTAAGAAAGTTTTCTTCCTTGTCATATATCCTGAATCCATTAACACACCTCTGGGAAAATGACAAAAAATTATCATTAAACTCTAATTTGTTATGGGGAGTTGAGAACACAAAGAGGTCTGCCTCTTCTTTCTCCTCCTTTTTGTGAGACAGATAGCCCAGACTGGCCTCCAATTTACTATGTAAACAAGGATTACCTCTAACTTCTGACTCTACTGCCTTTATGCCCCAAGTGCTGTGGTTACAAACACCGTGCCATCATACACATCATACACATCATGCACACCTGTGTGCAACCTAGGGTAACTAGGAGTATATGTGGTCTAACACAAAATCATAAACTTACTTCAAACATCATGAGATGTTGTTTGTTTGTTAAAGTGATCATGAGGTTCTATAGCGGGTAACTGTCTGGTGATCACTGAAAATTATCTGCCGTTGACTGAAAATATCATCATTGGACAAAATACTGACCTACTTAAATAAATAGTTTTGCTGTGTTAAATTACCTCAGGTGATCTCAAGGCAGAGAGTCAAACTATCTAAATTCCAGAAATAAGCCCACACTGAGACCCGGGGATGTGACTCAATAGGTAGACGTCTACTTAGCATTCACGAAGCCCTGGGTTCCATCCCCAGCACCACATAAGCCAGGCAGATTAGAAGCTCAAGGTCTGGAAGCCTACATGGGACAACCTAAGCCCTCTACATACATGTAACAGTAGTGTAGCTTGGTCTACTTATGGGACTCCTAACAGTGGGAATAGGGGCTGTCCCTAATGCTTTGGCTGGCTCTTGGGAACCTATTCCTCATGCTAAATTGCCTTGCCCTGTCTAAATACAAGTGGCAGTGCTTAGTCTTACAGCAACTTGATATGCCATACTTTGCTGATACCCACAGAAGGACTGTCCCTTTCTGAACCAAAACAGAAAAGGAGTGAGTTCAGGGTGAGTGGAAATAGGGAGGGCATGGGACGAGGGAAGAGAGGGGAAACCGGAGTTGGGTTGTAAAATAAATTAATAAAAACAAAAAAGAAGTTCATCCTCAGCTACATAATGAGTTCAAGGCCAGCCTGGGCTACAAAAGACCTTGTCTCAAAGAAGAAAAAGACACAGTAAGCAATTGTAGACTAAATCTGCCAGTGTGGCATGTGCCTTTAATCCCCACACTCAGGGGGCAGAGGCAGGTGGATCTCTGTGAGTTCCAGGCCAGCCTGGTCTATAAAAGTGAGTTCCAGGACAGCATGGCTACTACACACACACACACACACACACAAGCCCTGTCTCAAAAAAAACCCAAAAAATTACTATTTGGTCTAAAGCCACAGAGAAATCCTGTCTCAAAAAATTATTATTTGGGGTTTATGATTACTTATTTAAAAATAAGGATTTTAGGGACCAGCAAGATGACTCTGCAGTGGTTCTCAACCTGTGGGTCCTGACCCCCACAGTGGCCTCATATCAGATGTTTACATTACAATTCATAACTATCAAAATGACAGTTATGAAGTAGCAAAAACTAATTTTATGGTTAGGAGACAGCACAACATGAGGACGGGTCACAGAATTAGGAATGCGGAGGACCACTGATTCAGTGGAAGGAGGCACTAAGCCTGATGATCTAAATTTGATCCTGGAAGCTGAAATGATGGAAGGAGAGAGGATTATCCTCTGATTTCTACCCATATGCCATATCACATATGTGTGCACTCATGAGTTGCAAGCAAGAATGCACACATACATACATACATACATACATGCATACACAGACACACACACACACACACACACACACACACACACATAATTAAAAATAAGGGTTTTTAGCGGGGCGTTGGTGGAGCATGCCTTTAATCCCAGCACTCGGGAGTCAGAGGCAGGCGGATCTCTGTGAGTTTGAGGCCAGCCTGGTCTCCAGAGAGAGTGCCAGGATAGGCTCCAAAGCTACACAGAGAAACCTGTCTCAAAAAACCAAAATAAATAAATAAATAAATAAGGGTTTCGAACTAGATTGTCTCTAAGATCCTTCCCACCCGAAAGCACTTCTGATTATAATCAGACCAACCTGTAGTTTAACATTTGTTGTCTCTCTGTCCAATTCTTCAATGGTATTACCTTTCCTACTGAAGACAAGGTTCAGGTTTTCGGCATCTGCCTCATTTGTCATTATTTGGCAAGAGCTGTTATCTGTCTCATCAAGCGCTAATAGTTCTTCAACCAGACAACCTAGCAACTCATCCGTCAATTCTTCATTCTTTACTGGGTCTAAGATTTCTCTCGAAATCTTTCCAAGTGTTTGATATGTGACAGAGTTATTTTCTAAGCTGTCCTGATCTAAAGAAGGTGCCCAGTGTTGTTCTGTAGGGGAAGGTGCACTTTCTGGGTTCTCGTGGAAAGAGAAACTCCGAAAGCTCATGGGTGTTTTAGACTTCTCTGAAAGGCTATCGAATTCTAGGGAATCCATGAGCATCTGGCCAGCATTGACTTTGTCAAGAGGTTCTATGTCCTGCTTTTCTGGTGACACATGCTTGCCTGAACTCTTGTCGCTGAGCACCACAGCCCAGCTGTTTTCTGAAGGGACAAGCAGGGCCTGCTGGTGCAGCTCTCCAAGCCCTTTTAGATCTCTAAGGCTTTGGGTAAGTATGTCACTGGTAAAAACGCCTCCCTCATCTACATCCTCCTCTGTGATGATGTCTTCAACGATGGATAGATCTGAAACAGGAGGGGTCTCTTTCTGTTCAGGGGATTGCTCAGGGATTGGTTTCAAGTTTGTGAGCTGAACTTCATCTTTGGGAGACAGAAAGCCATTGCCTGAAGATTTAATCAGCCAGTCTGGTTCTGAAACACCATCCTCCCTGTGGCTACCTGTAGCCCTGCAACCCCTTTCTTTAGAAATTAACCCTCTGTGCTTTTGCTTGAGACCAAGTGAAGGCTTGGTGGCTTTTATGTGTGGCCTCTTCTGAAGAAGTCTTGCTCTGCTATTGCTGCTTCGGTCACTTTGGGAAGACTGACATTTACTGGGGACGCATCGGCCCAGGGGAGCTGTGCATATTTCACGGTAATATCTGTGTTCATGCCTTTCTGCCTCTCGAATGTAACTATAAATGGGAGTCCCAAACATCTCGTAGATTCCTGGTCCATTGGAGGTTGAATTGATTTCTTTGAACATGTCACTATACTTCAAGTCCAGGAAATGCAGTCTTGGATCTGTTGTTTCAGCCAACAGGGGAACACATGGCTTTTTTATACCCGAGCTTTTACTGATTCGAGGAAATGCTTGCTTTTTAGAGTTCTGGGTTTGATGCATTGATTTCTTCTTTTCTGTTGGAGGCACTTTCCTTTGAAACTTAGGTGACAGATGAGGTCTGGGGTCCATGGGTTCCAAAGCAGGGAAAACTTGAGTTTTTATGCTGTTTTTATGCCTGTTGGGTTTAATGGAAGCTTGGATGGAAACTGTGAGATTAGGAGGTGGTCTGTTTCTTGCCTTGGTCCTAGAATCCAACTTGGCTCTAGGAGTATTTGTCTGGAGTTTGTCCTGTTCTTGTTGAGCAAGCATGTTGAGGCTACTGCTATTCTGCATAGTGTGTTTTCTCTTTTGGAGGTTAGCTTTGGCTGTAGCTGACTCCTTGTGTGTTCCTTCTCCAGGGAATATGATTTGGACAAGAGGTACCATCCCATTCATTTCTTGCTTCATTGATTCCTCTACTGATATTTTTTTGTTCTGTTCTGTGTCTTTATGGCCTTCTAGGAGCTCTTCAATGGAGCCGTCAGAGTTCATACAAGATATGTCCTTTAGAACTCTAGCCTCTTCTGACACAGCGTATGGTTCTGTCGCTCCAGCTTCATGTAAAGAATTGCTTTCAGAAAAAGGAACTTTCTCATTTCTGATCTCTTTTTCCTCAGCTTGGGTTATTTCTGCATTTGGGGCTTCCTGGAGCTTGCTGAGACTGGTGTACACAGCTTCGGAATCTTGTTCAAACGCTCTGGCTGTTGAACCCTCTTTTTTTCTTGATGAAGGATATTGGGAGATTTCACCCCCTTTTCTCATTTTGCTATCATGGAACTCACTACCCCTTTCCCTCTCTGTGGGAACATTGCCTTCTTTGACCTTCTCACAGGAAACCAATGCTGGCCCTTCTTCAAAGCAAGAGGTTTCAGTTTTGTCCCATCCTTCCATTTCCTGGGGTTCCCAACTCTCCACCACTCCCCCCTGTTTTCTGGGATGATTCACCTTCTGGAAAGAGCACATGTTTCTAGACCAAATGGCACTGTCAGACGCCCTGAGGCTCTGTTTTGCTGGTCCCTTCCATGTGACTTCTGGATGGCTCTTTGATGAGCTAAAGTCAACTGATTGACTAAGAGGCTCTAAGAGCTTAGGTACAGAGGTGGTAAAGCTTGGAACTTTTCTCTCATTGGGTCTTGGGAACTTGTGACTTTTTTCCACATCGAGGACACAAGATCTCATGGGCAAGAGTGATAGTGGTGGCAGAGGAAACTAAAAAAAGAGAAAGAAAATGATGAGTGCAGAAAAATATCTGAGTACCATATTCTCTGATTTAAAGTAAAAAAGTTCTTTTGTTTGTTTGTTTGTTTGTTTGTTTTGTGGTTTTTTGTGATGGTTTTTCTATGTAGCCTTGGCTGTCCTGGAACTCACTCTGCAGACCAGGCTGGCCTCAAACTCAGAAATCTGCCTGCCTCTGCCTCTTGAGTACTAGGATTAAAGTCGTGCACCACCACCTGGCTTAAATCAAAAAGTTGTAATACCCACTTACCGAAAGATTTTAAAGTATAACGCCATCCTGAGGATCACATTTTGTGTTCAGAGTTGGGGAATCAAACCCAGGGCTTGTACATCCTGGGCAAATGTTCTTCCACTTAGCTACATCAACATGTCCACAGGCCAGAAAGATCACAATTTTTTAAAACCAAAATCTGGGACTGGGGATGGAGTTCTCATTTGGTATACATGAGGCCCTGGTTTGATCCCCAGGATCATATAAGCAGGACACCGTATATACACCTATAACCCCATGCTGGGGAGGTGGAGGCAGGAACATCAGAGAAGTATAAGGTTATAGACTATATACAGCCTAGGCTAGAGTACTTGCCAAAAAATAAAAACACAAACAAACAAACACGGGCAGAAATAAAATAACACCTAAATCAGGACCAGCAAGATAGCTCCTTGGGTAAAGGCACCTGCCACCAAGCCTGATGACCTAAATTTGATTCCTGGGACCCACATGGTGGAAGGAGAGAGCTGGCAGCTGACACCCCCAAGTTGTCTTCTGATGTCTACATGTACATAGACTCTCTTCCTTCCCTCCTCCCTCCCTTCCTCCCCCTCCTCACACACACACACACAACACACACACACACAAGCAAAGTAAAAATAAATATCTTGGCTGGGCAGTGGTGGTGAACATGTTTAATCCCAGCACTCAGGAGGCAGAGGCAGCCAGATCTCTGTGAGTTCAAGGCCAGCCTGGTCTCCAGAGTGAGTTCCAGGACAGGCTCCAAAGCTACAGAAAAACTCTATTTCAAAAACAAACAAAAAAGCTAAAATTTATGCTATATATATTATATATATATACACATATATATATTATTTACTTGTTTGTTATTTTGTTTTGTTTTTTTGATTTTTTGAGACAGTTTCTCTGTGTAGCCCGACTGTCCTGGAATTCACTCTGTAGATCAGGCTAGCCTCAAACTCACAGAGATCCGCCTGCCTCTGCCTCCCGAGTGCTGGGACTAAAATCATGCGCCACCAACGCCTGGGCTAGATGTTAAGTTTTAAGACAAGAAATATTTTCTTTAGTTGTCAAAGCATGATTAAAATGTTTTGAAAGCCTCTTGAAATCAATTTAAACTTGTTGCCATGTGTACTTTAACATCCTTCCAACACTGGTGATCTCAGGGTTTGTGGAACAAAACACTCATCATTGCTTTGCTGAATTGTTTAGTTGGGAACAGCTTTAGACGTGGAAAATTAGCAACCCTAAGATCTGGGTAGGCTTCTCAGATGCTAGTGTTTTCCCAGAATGCAGAAGGCTCTGGATTCAATCCCTAGCAACCCACAAACCGAATGTGGTAGTGCATGCCTGTGGTCCCAGGACTCTGGAAGTGGAGACCAAAGGATCAGGAGTTCAAGGTTATCCTCAGCCACATAGCAAGTTTGAGGACAGTCTGAACTGCATGACAATCTTTAAACAAAAACAAGAACAACCTAAATAGCTTTTTAAAAGATTTATTTAATGTTTATGAATGACTGCTTTGCCTGCATGTATGTATCTGTACCATGTACATGCCTAGAGGGTGTCTGTTGGATTGCCTGGAACTGGAGTTGCAGATGGTTGCGATCTACCATATATTAAGAAAAGCTGGACCCAGGTCCTCAAAAGTGACAAGTGCTCTTAAGCACTAAGTCATCTCTCCAGACTCTGCAATAGCTCTTTGTTCTCCTTTGCCCTCCAAACTATTTCAAACTCAGCTAGTTTTAATCAGTTCTAACCTCGAGGGGGCAGTGTAATGCAAAGTATAGCATTCAGCCTTGCTCCTGTTAAGCTATGAAGTCCTCAAGTGGGTGTTTCTTCGTGGTGTTTTCTCATGTAAACTCCGTAACCTAATTACATCAGATTATTTGTAGACTTGAATTGTTCATAGTGATTGAGAGCTATAGCTTGAATTTTCAGTTGTCAGCTAGGGAAGACCCAGATATTAGAAACTCAGGTGTCAGGTGATGTGTATCTCCCTGAATATCCTTCCCCCTGACACCCCTCAAAAAGAGGAAATAAGGAACGAGGAAATGGCTCAGTCAGTAAAGTGCTTGCCTTGCAAGTACAAACACCTGAGTTCAGTCCCCAGACCCCACATTTCAAAAGCTAGCCATAGTAGAACAAGTTTGGAATCCCAGTGTTTGGGTGGGGGTGTAAAACAGATCCCTGGAGTTTGCTGGCTGATGAACCTAGTGTAATTGGCCAATGAGAGACCCTGTTTCAAAAATCAAGGTGGACAGCGCCTGGGAAACAACATCTGAAGTTAACCTCTGGCCACATGCACATGGTCACTTACACACACACACACATACACACACACACACAGAGAGAGAGAGAGAGAGAGAGAGAGAGAGAGAGAGAGAGAGAGAGAGAAAGAGAAAGAAAGGAGTCTTCCAGTGTTAAGAAGTCCCTTTCAAAAGCACTCTCACATGCCGATGCTGATGCACAGGTGTGCACAGATGTCTATCACATGCTGATGCACAGGTGGGCACAGGTATCTCTCACATGCTGATGCACAGGTGTGCACAGATGTCTATCACATGCTGATGCACAGGTGGGCACAGGCATTTCTATGTCCCCCAGGACACTGAAGGCCAGGAGAGCTGAGGAAACTGAAAAGTGACCAGTATCTTCCCAGAAACTTTCCTTTTAAATTATAGAAGCAGGGAAACTCCACTGTGGGGTGGGAGGTGAATGGCAAAGAATTACCTGGGATTTGGACAAATGTCAAGTTGAGTGGTGTGGTGACCCACACTTTCAATTCAGCACTCAGGAGGCAAGGGCAGGAGGAAGCGGATCCCTGTGAGCTCCTGGCCAGGCAGAGCTACATAGTGAAACCCTGTCTCAAAAAGTTAAATACATAAATAAACAAAGAAGCAGACAAACAAAAAGAGCTGAGTGAAAGAAAACTAAGAGGCAGGAAGCACAGCTTAGAATAGCATTGGAGAAATCAGGACTGTCAATCACATGGGCCTGTTTTCTTCAATGGAAGAAAATGGACGGCAGCTAGGCACTTGGAATGCCAGAGTGACTAGTGGCCCATCAACCTGGTGGCCTTTTGCTATTCTATGAGCCAGGCTTCCTGAATCCCCCAATATCCTGAGCGTTGTTTAGGCCCTAATCCTGAGCTTTGTCTCTCAAGTGACTAGAACACATCCCTATGAAAGAGGCCCGTGAACTTTTCATCCTTCATCAATAGAATTCATCTTTATGCTTATCTTAGATCCTTCGCTAGGCCTGAGCTCTGAGCTCTACTTAGCAGCCAATAGAATTTATTCTTGTTATAAAGGTCGCTGGTCACAAGTTCTACTCTGTTTAAGTGTGTAAGGAAAATAGAATACAGGGTCAATCCCTGAAGGTCTTTACCCCATGCCCTCAAAAATGGCACTGTCCCCAGCTTTCTTTGTTATCTCTCTTTGGTCCATTTTCTTGGCAGTTGTAATACCTGTAGTAACCCCTTAACACTAAGAGACCCATCCACCTCCCTAAGCAGGGGACAGGAAATTGCCTGAGAAACAACCCACAGAGCAAGAGATAATATTTGCAAGAATAACTGACTTCTCCATAAAATAGGCATTGTTTTTAAGATTTCCTCCACACTATTATTGCTAAGGATTTGACAATGAGTAGTTTGATGGAACTTGTTGTTGTTGTTTTAACTAAGTGAAAAGTTACTAATCTTACCTCAATTCTTCGGCCACTGTGTCTCATGTCAGAAGTAGGAAACTCTATAAGAAAAGAACAAACAAACGAGAATTGGGTGCTCTTAGTAGTAGGGTGAAAAGCTTGTGGATGGAGCAATGTAGTTGCTAAGGTATGTGGGAAAGTGTTTCAAAGTATGTTTTTTCCTGTGCAGTGTACACAGTGATGGAATGTTTCCAGAAAACCTCAAGCCAAGCCACCAGGAGGGGAATGTACTGTGTATGTTCATCTTATTGATTATTGAATAAAGTACTTGTTTGGCCAATGAAACAGCAAGTTAGACAGGACTATGAGTCAAAGAGGATTCTGGGAAATGTAGTAGAGAAGTGGTGATCTAGGCAGGAAGTGACATAGCAAGGAGACTCATATGTAAGCAAAGGAAGCAGGAAATGTCCCCCCTTTCCCCTTCACCTCCTCCAGTGGCGGGATGTGAGCCACCAGCAAGGAGGGACGCCAATAAGGCATCCGATAAGATAAGTCTTATAAAATATATAGATTTATGATAATTAAGACTGAGCTAACAGATGAAAATCCTAGTCATTGGCCAAGCAGCATTGTACCTAATACAAGTCTCTCTGTGCATTAATTTGGGCCCTAACTTGGCGGGCGGCTGGCGTAAAGTGCACATGTGGCGGTGGGGCTTTGGCAGCTTTTGGCGGAAAGATTTATCGTAACAGGGATTGTTGTGGGTTTGTTTGTTCATTTGCTTTTGAGACCTTGTCTCAGGTAGGCTGGCCTTGAACTCCCTAGGTAGCCAGGGATAACCTTGAGTGTTAGAATTACAGGTGTGTGTTATGCACAGTTCAGTACTGGGAACCAAACCCAGGGCTTCATGTGTGCCAAGCAAACACTCTACCAACTGAGCCACATGTCAGTTGTTTGTTTTTTCTCCCCATGGAATCCTCTTTCCTGAAACACACATTCCCTCTTCTTCATTTGCTCAAGTTGCCTTCACTATTGTCATATATGTGTGTACCTGTGTGTGTACATGTGTGTATGTGCACCAGGGAAGGTGTCTTTGTTCCATGATATGCTTGTAGAGCTCAGAGGACACACACAAACATTTAGGTACCACTGACTGACCTTGCCTTTTAAACAAGACCTCTCACTGGCCTAGAACTTGTCAAGTTGGCTAGGCTGGATGGCCAGGGAGCCTCAGAGATGTTCCTGAATCAGCCACATCTGGGCTGTGATGACAAGCATGTGTGATCATAAATGGCTTTTTTTAAAAATACAGGTTTTAGGGAATTGAACTCAGATCCTTGTGCTTGCAAGCACTTTAGTGACTGAGTTCTCTCTCCAGCACCACTATAGAATTAAATGCTCAACTTAATATGTTTCCTCATATTTGTGGTTTCTAGACTTTCTACAGAGATACATAAAATCATATATGTGTATATGGCATGAACAGAGGAGTAAAATTTTTAGGGTACAAAGCAGACTAATAGGAAGGAGAAGGGGTGAGAAAAGGGGGAGCAGAGGAGGGTGAAGGAGAATGTGCTTGCCATACAATATATTCTCACACAGAAGCGTTAACAGTGAGTACATAAACACATGCTTGGCTCACCTTCAGGTTTTCTTTGCTGCACTTTCAGAACATGGGGGGCCTCCTCCCTGGTTGCAGACACAGCAGTACTTGGGTCTAAGCAAGGTCTCAGTAAGAGGGCCATGTCCATACCATGGAGCTCCTCAGAACTTCCTTCCCTCTTCAGACATGAAGGTCTTGCTGTGAGGCTCACCATCTCCACTTCATTTGGTGGAGAGACAGGACGCACCTGTTCCCACTCCTGATGCACTGAGGTCACCTGCCTGAGAGGGGAGAGATGGGAAAAACCCATTTGCTGGGATAGTTTGGATCTTGGATGGTCCCTCTGTTAAACGTTTGGTCCCTACCATATGGTGGTGTTCGAGGAGGTGATGTCTAAGGTAAAGAAATTAATTTGTTGGGCCAATGCCCTTGAAGGGGGTTTTGGTAGCTGTTCTCTTTGTGGAACACCATGAAGGAAGCAGCCTTCTCCCCACATGCTCTCTTCCATGACGTACTGCCACTTTACCACAAGCCAAAAAAACCGATAAACCACAGCAACTGTAGAACGAACCCCCGAAACCAAAATACACTCCTCTTTGCTCATTATCATAAATACTCTATCAGCTACAGAAAACTGACTGGTACATTCCCCGTATCTTCCAGATCTGCCATTCCCAGGCCAGTCTGACCTTGTTGGGAAGTTTGGAAATTAGTTATCAAGTGGTCTGGCTGAGCCGAGTTGTGGAATCCTAACAGGACAAGGTCCCTGCATTCTCTGGCCTGATCCTGCCAGCCCTGCCCTCTGGATTCAGTCCTAGTCCACTCTCCCTCCTTTGTTCCTGTTTCTGGGAACCCTAAAGTCAAAAACAAAAGGCTGGGACAGGAGCAGTACACCATGTCTCTAAAGGCATTAATTAGCCAGCCCAGTCCTTCCCAAACTGTCTGCAGTGGGAAGCCAGTTTCTATTTTTGTTAGTTATTCTTATTACTTTATTTTTATTTTTTGAGAAAGAGTCTCTGATGGGGGAAGTGCTTCTGTGTATGTGTTTGCCTTATTGGATAATAAATAAAGTACTGTGTGGCCAATGAGGCAGTAAGTTAGACAGGACTAGGAGTCAAGGAGGATTCTGGGAAATGTAGTAAAGAGGTCGTGATCCGCAGGAACTGACATAGCAGGGAGACTCATATATAAACAAGGGCAAGAAGGAAGTGGGCCCCTTCTCTCTTCCTCCAGAGTCACCATGTGATCCTGGGATGAGGGCACCAATGGAAGGCATCCTAAATAAGATAAGTCTTATAAAATATATAGATTTATGATAATTAAGACTGAGCTAACAGATGAGAAATCCTAGTCATTGGTCAAGCAGCATTTGTACCTAATAGAAGTCTCTGTGTACTATTTGGGGCCCTAACTTGGCAGGCAGAACTCAGGTGGCTGGCGGAAAGCGCCCACGTGGCGGTAGGGCTTGGGTGGCTTTTGGCAGAAAGATTTATCGTAACAAGTCTCATGTAATCCATGCTAGTCCCAAACTAGCTATGTAAGCAAGGATGACATTGAACTTCTAAACCTCTTGCCTCCACTTTCCTAGTGTTAGGATTACAGGCATGCACCACCATATCTGGTTTATGCAGAGCTGGGGATCAAACTCAGGGCTTGGTGTACACTTGGAAAGCACTCTGCCAACTGAGATGCATACCCAGGCTGCCCCCTCCCCATTGTTTGGCTCTTTGAGAAAGAGACAGTCTTCCTATTGTTGTAGAGTTATCTTCCAAGCAAAACAGCTGCCATTTTCATCAGATTGTCTAAGAGCGTCATGGAGCCTCACCTGGGATTTCAGCCAGTCCTTCAACTGTTTGTATGCAACTATTTCTGTCCTAATTGCATGGCATCTCAAGAGATGTTAGAATATAAAGGCTGGGGAAGGTTAACTGAAGAGGGCTCTATCTACCTGGCTATGGGGAAGCCAACATCTAGGCTGCTTGAAGACTTCAGTGTGGCTGCTTTGGGTTCCCATGCTCCTGTAAACCCTTCACCCATGCTCTGTAAGTAAACTCCTTGAACTCTGGTAGAGTTATACTTCAGTTTGTTTATTGTTGGGACCTTATAAGGAGAAGGTAGACACTGTTTCCATCTCCCCAGGGAAGGAAATTTCCCAACAGTACTGGCCAGCCTGGAACTTGATATGTAAATCAGACTGACATTAAAGCTTGTAACCATCTTCCTACCTCTGACTCCTGAATTCTAGTGTTGGAAGGACCTACCTTACAACCTTCCCGCTCATTGCAGAGTGATAACTTTTGTCAACTATGATGAAAACTAGTACAGAATACAAAAGAACCAAAAACATGCAGAAAACAGACTCCATTTTTTCATCATCTGATTAATGGACATAGATTGTGTTATCAAATTACCACGTTTCAGTGTTTATCCTCATGTTCTTTACTAGCGTTATCTTGTGCTGGTCACGGGGCTACAGAACCACATTTGGGACACCCTGTATGCCACCCACCATGATGATAATAGATTAAACCTCTGAAACTGTAAATTTAGCTCCAACTAAATGTTTTCCTTTATAAGAGAAGATGTTGTCATGCTGTCTCTTCACAACAATAGAAACCCTAACTAAGGCAAGCCTGTTTCTATAGCGCGTGTGTGTGTGTGTGTGTGTGTGTGTGTGTGTGTGTACGCGCTCGAGTGTGTTGTATGTGTGTTGTACTCCTCACAACAGGAGCAGACCAATGGATAGCACTGGGTGTCCTGCTCTCACCTTCTTTGCCATATTCCCTCAAGACAAGGTCTTTCACTAAACCTGAAGCTAGGCTGGCAGCCAGCAAGTCCCAGGATCCTCCTGTCTCTGCCTTCCACAGGGCTGAGGTTATAGACACACTCATGCCAAGCTGTTAACATGGATGCTGGGATTTGAACTCTGATCCTTATGCTTGCACAGAAAGTGTTCCTACCACACACCTATAATGTCTGTTTGTTATCTGGCCCCTCCTCATAGCATTTGTTGCTACACAGCTGTCATATTTTCTCCTTAAATTAAAATTCAATACCTGGGAACATATTCCTTACTTGTTTTCTTTCAAATCTTCTTGGCTTGTTTCTTGGGGAGGGTCTGGTGGAAACATCACAATAATCTCAACACCTGCAGAAAGTCATGGCAGGAGCAGAAGAAAGCAATGAACTCCCTGGGGATGAGGGGAAAACTCTTCATCTATTTAGGTAAGTCTATTCATTTGTGGGTGAAGAGTGTGGTTTTGAATCAGGGTTTCTCTGTGTAAACAGTTCTGGCTGTCCTGGGACTGGATTTGTAGACCAAGCTAGCCTTGAACTCACAGAGATCCTCTGCCTTGAGTGCTGGGATTAAAAGCGTGGGCCACCACCACCTGGTGATGAATCTATTCTTATGACTATAGAATAAATGTTAGCTAGGGCATTGAGTTTAGACATTGTCTGCAGCATATGACATGATGCATCAGGTATGCCCCGTCTCCAGCCCATGGTCCTATGTAGCTATGGATAGCAGTGAATGTTGCCCAACAGAAAATTATATACTTGATTAAAATATTATGAAACTGTGTGTGTGTGTGTGTGTGTGTGTGTGTGTGTGTGTGTGTACAAGTACACTATTGTTAAATGTGAACTTTGGGGATGACAATGCTATGTCATTAATAGCAAAAGGTTGGTTCTATGATAATTTCCAGATTCGGGGCAGGGTAGCTTAGAAGGGAAGGAATCTGACACCACGCTCAATAAACCGAGTTTAATGTTCAGGACCCACATGGTGGAAGAAAAGGACTGACTCTGGCAGGATGTCCTTTGACCTCCACATACAGGCTGAGGTAGGAGTATACACACACACACACATACACACACACACACACACACACACACACACACATACAGGCTGAGGTAGGGGCATATCCACACACACATACAACACACAACACACACACATACACACTCAAAATGTAATTTAAAATTTTAAAAATTGTTCAGGTGGAAATGACAGGCTTTGACTGAACAGTGCTTTGGGTGGAGACAAGAACCCCTTCCTCCATAAGTATAACTGATAACACCTGCCTCACAGACTATAGTAACTGAGGTTCATCAACTGTGAGGAGAAACTTTGTCAGAAAGATCATTGATTCTTTGACTTATTAAGGTTTAAAAGTTCTGTGGAGATAATGTGGAAATCTCACGTTTCCCATATGAAAACCAAAAACACTACAACTCCCTCTGAAAAGGAAACCAGCATTTCAAACAGCAAGTTGTTCCAAAGTCAAACAGAACATGTAAGAAGTTTAACCCCTCCCCACCTGCCAAGGTGTTCTGGTTGTTCTTCCAGAGGACCTGGGTTCAAATCCCAGCAGCACACACATGGCTGTTACAACTGTCTGTAATTCCAGTTTTGGGGGATCTGTCACCCTAACTCCAATGGACATAAAATAATAAATTATTTAAAAAAGAAAAAAGGTAGTCAAAGGCATTTGACCATAAGACTCTTCCAAGGGGGGGACCAGGGTTTATTTATTTTAATCAGTTTTTCCATGTCTGATGATGTTCATTATTTAACTGTTACTGAATTATACTCAGCCTGGAGAGAGGTGCTAAGCAAATCTAAGGAAGTCAGAACAGGGCAGCAGGGAACAGAGGGCTGAGGAATGTGCATTTGGATCTGGGAATGAACAGACTCCTGGAGCTGATGGAAGCTTCTGAGAGGAAAGGGATGGTGGCAGGTGACATTAGACAAGAAGGAAAGGGACTGTGACTGCTGGCTGAGTGGGAGTGGAATCAAGTACAGAAGAGCCAGGAATAAGTGGCCGGTATGGCGAGGGGCAAGTTGCCAAGACTCTGATTCAGAAAAAAGATATAACAGAACGATGGGTGGTTTTTATTCTCTCTCTCTCCTCTCTCCCTCTCGCTCTAAATGTATGTGTTCATGTATGTGAACATACACATGAAGCCAGAGTGTCATTCCCTAAGGCATTGTCCATCTTGTTTTTTTTGTTTGTGTACTTTGTTTTTGTTTTTTGGGTGTCTCACTGACCTGAAACAAACCAAGCAGCCTAGGGCCCTGGGGGTTACAAGCACACACTCAAGGCCTTATATTTGCAAAGCAAGCACTTTACTGAATGAGCTCTCTCCAATCCCAGCTTTTATTTCCTTCATTTGTTTGTGGTTTTGTTTGTTTGTCTGAGACAGGGTTTCTCTGTGTAGCTTTGGAGGCTTTCCTGGAACTCACTCTGTAGACCAGGCTGGCTTCAAAAATCCCAGAGATGCACCTGCCTCAGCCTCCCAAGTGCTGGTGTTAAAAACATGCGCCACCAATCAGGTGTCTGTGATTTCAAAGTTGTGCCACACACTTCAGAAATTCTGAGAGAACCCCAGGCATCAGTGCCATCTTTAGGGACAAGTCATGGATGGAAGTGGATACCTTCTGTCCTGCATGGCCAGTCTTCACCCCGGGCAGCTGCTCCTTCCCCAGCCAGTATGGATAGGCTGCAGTCTTCCTCAAGGCCAAAGTCCTGTCAGAGCACAGAATGACAGCTCAGCGAGGTTATAGGGAGATGCTCAGTAAACATTCAATGCACAGAAATGAGGACCTGAGTTCAGTGCCCAGAATCCACATTAAAAAGCCTAATGTTAGCTGGGCAGTAGTGGCACATGCCTTTAACTCCAGCTTGGGCAGGTAGACCTCTGTGTGTTGTAGGTTACCTTGGTCTATAGATCAAGTTCTAGGACAGTAAGGGCTACATAGAGGAACTTTGTCTGAAAAAAGGTTGGCAGGACTAGGGCTAGGGCTAGGACAGGAACTGGGCTATCTCTCTATATATATATATATATATATATATATATATATAT